CCTGAGATGCTCCTTGAGCACTGACTTTGTGCTCGGCACCTAACCGTGGCTCCTGCCCTCTCCTTGCTTCCTGAGTTGAAGAGCCAGTCATTGAACTGTGGGAAAATAATATTTTATAAGAGATAGATACATTCTGGGCATGGATTACTAGAAACGAGTTTTTTAAATTAGATTTTTCTTTTATAGAATTATTTAATTTTATTATTATTATTATGAAAAATTTTGCTATAGGACACATGCACTTACCAGAGAGAGAGAGAGAGAAAGTGAGAAAGCAAGCCACCTGGTCCTGGGCTTGGACCAAATTTGGCCATATGGTAATCCAGTGCCCTAACCACCATGCTACCTGCTGGATCCATAAGCAAGGTTTTGATTGCTGCAAATATGCATTAGAAATGGGTGTGTTTAAGCCAGCAGGTGGCATGGAGGTTAAGGCAGCGGGATCCCACATGGCCAACCATGCAGTTTGAGTCCCAGACCTGGTAGTTTGAAAAATACACTGGGTGGGACCAGCAGTTAGCGTAATGGCTATGTTGCTGGACTCCCATGTAGTCGACCACAGTTCGCGTCCCGGACCTGGTGGCTTGAAACTCACGCCGGGCGCGTGTGTGTGCGTGCCCAAGTACCCGGGAGGAGAATGGAGAAGGGATTGCGGCGTGGCCATCCCCCCTGGGGGGTGATTTCTCACTTTCTGTCTCTCTCTGTCTCTCTGTCTTTCTGGCGAGCACACGCGCCCTATAGCAAAAACCTCTCCCCAAAAAAAAGAAAAAAAAAAGAAAGAAAAAGAAAAACACACTGGGTGCGTGTGCATGCATGCTCAAAATCCTGAGAGGAGAATGGAGGAAAAGGGATTGTGGCATAGCCATCTCCTCTGGGGGTTGGTTTCTCACTTTCCCTCTCTGTCTCTCTCCAGTGAGCATATGCACCCTATAGCAAAAAAGAAAGAAAGAAAGAAAAGAAATGGGTGTATTTTATTTCATCATTTTGACAAACCAAAACACCACCCCTCTAGTTCCGTGATTCCCTCCGGGGACAACACAGCCCACCCCCGGGCAAGAACCAATCAGTTGTTTGGATGAAAGAAAGTGGGCTCCCCCAGTAGTTAGGAGGAGCAGGAAATCCTGCTTCTAGACAGTGTCTGACATTTGTGTTGGCAAGTATCTTGCAACATAAAACATCATGTGGAGCAACTGAACAGCAAGACGAGCCGGCTGCTTGGGCTCAGACTGCCCCAGCGCTGTCTCAGCAGGAGGGTGCAGGCGGGAGCTGGAGGTGAGCCTGGGCCTGTGGTTGAGCAGGGGATGCAGCTGCAGCCATGTGCCCTGGCAAGCCCCCCGCAGGAGACCGTGTAGGCACAGCATTGCCCTGAGGACCCCAGGAAACACCATCCAAGGATCTCACAAAGGAGACTAGGGAAGAAAATAGGGAAAAAGTCAGAGGACAGGAACATGAGGGTCATGGTCACCTAGGAAGGATGCAGTTTCAGGAGGCCGTGAGTGGTCAGCAGTGTGACTGTGGTATGAGTCCAGGACTAAAGACTGGACATGCATTTTGGATTGGGACCATGATAACCACTGCTGGCCCGTGCCAGTTGAGGTCAGTGGTGGGAGGAGGAGGCTGTGGTACCCGAACCCAAGGGGTGTTTGGATGACTTCAAAAGATGGAGGAGGTGAGGACCAACAGTTAGCATAATGGCTATGTCGCTGAACTCCCATGCAGTCGACCGTGATTCGAGTCCTGGACCTGGTGGCTTAAACTCATGCCAGGTGTGTGTGCATGTGTGCCTAAGATCCCGAGAGGAGAACGGAGGAGAAGGGATTACGGCGTGGCCATCCCCCCTGTGGGGGGAGTTATAATAACAATAACAATAATAATAATAATAATAATAATAATAATAAAATCCTCTTCCAGCTGGAGCAGGAGCGGCTGCGAGCCCTCTGGTTTCTGAAGCAGTGCATGGGTCTCCTCAAGAGTAATAATAATAATAATAATAATAAAATCCTCTTCCAGCTGGAGCAGGAGCGGCTGCGAGCCCTCTGGTTTCTGAAGCAGTGCATGGGTCTCTTCAAGAGCCCACAGGCCCCCATCCGCCAGGCAGCCGTGTGGTTTGCAGGTATGCCTGTCTTCCTGGAGCTGCCATGTCCTCATTGTAGGGTCCTTCAACTAGACTGAGCACCTGGGAGATGACGACATATGGGGGGAGGGGGGACAGTCCCCACCTCCCACCTGCCCCCTCCCTGCAGGAAACCGCTGGTTGGGATGGGCGGCTTCCCTGTGGTAGAACGAGCCAAGTTCTGGGAGGCCAGGCCAGCCGAGCTCCAGGGGTGGGGCAACAGTGGTGAGGCTGCTGCTCTGGGTGGACATTCGGGGATAGACAGGAGCTGCCTTGCGTCTCCACAGGGAGCAGCATCTTTGGAGCTGGGGGATCTATTTCCTCGCCCAGCCCAGTTGGCTTGGAACCCTTCAGAGAAGCAGGGGAAGTAATTCCGACTTCATGGGAAAGGCCTAGACCTGGTGGCCAAGGGAGGGAAAGTCAGACAGGGAGGGCTGAGTCAGGAAGGGGCACAGAAGCCTTTGCGGCCTGTCCCCTGGTCCTCAGTGGGGCCGCTGAGAGGCTTTGTGTGCCCTACAGGCCAGATCATCCAAACCATCCGCTTGGAAGAGATCACTGACATTGAGGACATGCGTGCAGGTGAGCGGCAACCCGGCAGCCCCTCCCTGCGACTTGTGGAGGTGCCCTGCCGCTGCGGAGGGCTCAGAGCTGAGGAATGGGGGGGGGCAGATGGGCTCACAGAGCTGGTCCCACAAAAGCAGATGGGGGCTTGCTGCCAAGGCCTTTGGGCATGGGTGTTGGCCGGATACCTCCCGCCCACATCCCAGCATTGAGCAGCCAGGACAGCTCCTTGACCTCTTACTAGAAGAGACGCTCAGCCTTCTCTTACAGGGGAGCCCATGGGCTCCCAGCTCCTTCCCTCTGGAGCTCCCAGAGCTGCTCATGTTGGGGTCCATGTCTTCCCCCCACCTTGCCTCTCAAACACCACCTCTCGGCACTGGGGGTTCCCACGTGAGCCAGACTCCTGGGCTGCAGGTGTCTGAAGTCAGAGGACTTCACTCACAGCTATTCTGTGAGAGAAAGGGACGGGTGGAGAGGGCTGGGAGTGTGGGTGATGGGTTCCTCCTCAGGCCTATGGCCGGTGTGTGGTCTCGCTTGTAACTGAGCAAAGTGGATGCCCGGAAGCTCTGCTCCCATGTGTGACGTGCCAGTTCCTGTCCCATCGCCACGTGCCTTTTCCAGAGCAGGCCCGGGGCCTCCTGCCCAGCCCAGCAGCCTTCCTCTGCTCAGAGTGCCACAGCCTGTCTGTGCTTCAGCCCTAAGGTACATGCAGAGAGACCCCGACCCTGTGATCAGCTGTCTCGCCACGCAGACCTTCTACATCCTGGAGGCCAAAGAGAGGGTGCGGCCGGCCACACCCCCCAGCTCCTGCCTCTGTATGAGGTGGCCCCAGAGGAGCCGTTTCTGAGCCTGCATCCCTGGGTCCCGGGACGGACACAGGGCCAGGCGTGAAGGGGAGGAGTGGCCCAGCAGAGCCTTCGCAATAAAAGGAGGAAGTGTGTACTCTGTGGAATTAGGTGCTCCCTGTCTTTCTAGTCAAATCAAATCCTGGGGGGTGGGGCAGAGCCCCTGCTTACAGAACGCAGGCTGCGCTGCTGCTTCTGCAACCACCTCGGGGGCCAGGCCGGCCTCTGGGCTCTGCCCGTGCCCTGCCCTCTGCCCTTCTCCCCCTCACCAAGTCGTCTGAGGCTGGAACAGTTTCTTTGGAATCGCCTTGAACTACGAGCCGGCAGGAAGGTGATACTGGGCCACAGAAGGTACTGGAGAACCCAGCTGCCCTGGCTGGTGATTGTGGTGTACGCACAGAGCCGCTCTGGCCAGTTTAAACAGAAAAGTGATTTATTAAAGCATTTTCAGAGAGCCCCTCCCCGGCAAATGTCCCGGAAGATGGGAGTTTGGCTAAGCACAGCCAAGCACAGGGCTGCTCTGTAAAATCCCCTTTGCCGTCCCCGCTTGGTGCAGCCTGAACACCACACCAGCCTTAACACCTCACCAGCGGGTGGCCCAAATGGGGCATTTTAAAGGCCCCACTCTTCTCCACTTCGGCCAGAGCCTCCTCTCACTCACTCCCCTCAGCACCTTCTAGGGGCGACATGGGCGACCAGCAGCTGGGCCAGGGGCCTTATCGGCTGGCCCTTTTCAGATGGAGGCAATGGGGACACAGGGCTCAGCAGCACACTTCCCGGCCCCCAGGGTACTCCAGCGTGGGTAGAAGCAAGTTTGCTAAAGTAAGAAAAGGTGAACTTATTTAAAACCTACTCGTGTCAGATGTGGGCTGGCCCCATGGCCTGGTGGTTATGGCAGCTGAACCCCACATGGCGCATCCACGCTCCAAATCCCAAGGGGATGGAGAAATGGAGGAGAAAGGATTGTGGTAGGACCATACCCCACTGGGGGTGCTTTCTCCCCTACCCTCCCATCTCTGTCTCTTTCTGGTAGATGCACATACTGACAATTAAAAACACGCAAACACACACACACACACACACACACACACACACACACACTAGGCCAAGTGCATTGGGATAAGACCCACTTTGCCTACTCTAAGGTCCCCACAAATCAGCCCCCTTCTCTTGCTCTGGCCAAGGTTACCAGCAAGGCAATGAGCACACAGGTGACGGATCCAGGGCCACTTCTGTCCTTGTGTCACCTTGGCAACACTGTCTTCCTCTCTGGGCCTCAATTCACTTCATCTTGAAATTGAGAGGGTGAGGGACCAGCGTATGTATGGTGTAATGGTTATGTCACTGGACTCCCATGTAGTCACCAGGGGTTCGAGTCCTGAACCCAGAGGCTTAAAACTCAAGCCGAGCGCACATGAGTGCGTGCCCAACATCTGAAGAGGAGAATGGAAAAGGGATTGCTGCGTGGCCATCTCCTCTGGGGGGTGATTTCTCGGTTTCTGTCTCTCTGTCTCTGTTTCTCTGGCGAGCTCACACGTTATAGCAAAAATCTCTCTTAAAAAAAATTGAGAGGTGGGAACAAGTGGTCATTTAAGATGTCACCCAGCTCTGACAATGACGGGTTCTTGTCAATGCTGAGCCGTTTCCTGCTTCTGAGAACTGCCCTCTAGCTTATATCCTACACGGGAATTTTCTCGACACTTTCTCTTCCAAATGTTCTAAAGCAAACAGCTATTACACTTACGATCTGGAAAAAACTCAATGCCTCTGATTAAAATAATAAAAATTAGGACCAGCAGTTGGAGTAATGGCTGTGTCACTGGACTCCCATGTAGTCGACCATGGTTCAAATCCCAGATCCAGTGGCTTAAACTCACGCCAGGCGCATGTGCGTGTGTGCCCAGGATCCTGAGAGAATGGAGAAGGGATTGCAGCGTGGCCATCCCCCCGGGGGGGGGATTTCTCCCTTTCTGTCTCTCTGGAGAGCACATGCGCCCTATAGCAAAAACCTCTCCAAAAAAAAAAAAAAAAGAGAATAATAATCCGGACCAACAGATGGTGTAATGGTTGCGTCGCTGGACTCCCACATGGCAGACCGCAGTTAAAGCCTCAGGCCTGACGGCTTGAAACTCATCCCAGCCATGAGTGTGCTTGTGTGTCCAAAATCCCCAAAGGATAATGGAGGAGAAGGGATTGTGGCATGGCCAGTCTCCCTGGGGGGGGGGGGGGGGGGCGATTTCTTCCTTTCTGTCTCTTTGGTGAACGCATGCACCCTGTAGCAAAAATCTCTCTACAGAAAAAGAGAGAATAAAATCTTTTAATCTTGTGTCTGTACCTCCCCATTCCTACCCCCCAAATGCTGCGGTGTTCTTCGTCACAGCATGACCAGAGTTTGGGAAAAGCAACTTCTGGGGGTTCTTAGGCAGAACCAGCCGGCTTCGGGCTTCACCCCCAAGCCTGGCCTGCAGCTGGCCTTGTCCGGCTGTACTTTCTACAGTTCACAGGCCGCCGCCCAGTAGGACAGGATCCTCTGTAAACTCTGCGCCTGTGGGGGCAGGGGCGGGCTTGTCAGTCAGCCAAGAATAGCAGTCCTCGAGGAGCCGCCCTGCTTCCCAAGGCTGGAGGCCTCTGTGCCCGCCACAGGGGCTAGGGCCCTGGCCGCTCTGCCCACCCCTCTCCATGGCCCAGGGTCCCGCTTGCATTTGCCAATGCCCTTCCATCGGAGGACAGGGTGCCTGTGGGAGGGACTTTCCTGCAGGAAGCCCCCACCTCACTCCCATGACAACCTCTCCTGAAGGCTCCGGATCTCACCGGCCAAATAGGTGCAGGCTTGAGAGGCAGTGGGGCCCCAGTGGGCAAAGGAGCAACTTGGTTTTATATTTGGGAAACAAAAGAGAGGGCCTATTGTCTCCCATCACAAAAATCAGAGAAAGCTTCCCACATGGTGTGGGCTGGTGATACTCGGTGCCCTACCTTCCCGCCCTGTGGGTGGGCCACCTCCAGGAGCTCATGGAGCGATTTGTGGTTATCAAACGGAACAGGGTTTTTGAAGACTGGAAAACGCTGACCTAGAAGAAAAGCACCACCAGCGTCAAGGTGTTTCCTTATAGGAACTTTTTACATTTGTCTTCTCTCCGTGAGCAACATGGGAACAAAACATGCAAAGGCACGGCGCATTCCGGGCCCTGGAGAGGTGCATGATACGGTCATGACAGTGACTGGGTTCAGATCCTGGCTCTGTCCTCAACACCTGTTCCCGGCCCGGTCACTTCCACCCTGAGGCTTTTCTCATTGCACAAGACGAAGATGCCACCTGTTACACGGGGTGGTGGAAATGCAACGGACGGTGCCCTTACCCATGTCTGGAGCACAGTAGGCATTCAATAAACGCTGGTGCCCACTCCCCTGGTGACTGCACCTACCCCAGGAAGCAGCCCATGGAGCCTGGAGAATTTGATCTCAAACTGTGTCCTCACTGGGTAAGCCCCAAACCCCCAGCCCAGGAAGATTTCAGCAGGCGGGGCCCAGCCCCAGAGGCCTCCCAACCATCCCCTACCCCCAACCCCAGAGAAGGTCAGCAGCCTGCAGGGTCCACACTGCAAGGACAATGGTCATTCAGGTTTTATTTATGACAGCTTCTCAGGACACGCACACCCGTCGAGGAAGAGAAATGTACAGTGTGAGGCTTAAATAACTTTCATACACTATGTACAGCTGCCGGCAGAGGTGCAAAACATACCTACGCCTTGTGCTGGCCACGCGGGCAGGGCCTAGGTGGGACAGTCTGAAAAAGAGCTGGTGGCAGGCTGGGCCCCCCTTCACCTCCAGGTCTTCTGGGACCCCCAGCTCTTCTCGGGACAATACATACTTCCCATTTCCTTGCAAGGCCCTCAGGACGTGGGTTCAAAGGACTGGATAGGGTGTGGTGGGGGCTGGGGCTAGGCAGGGGTACAGGGCAGGACAAAGATGCCAGAGCAGCAGCAGAACCTTCCCTGTGGTCCACCTTTGCACACAGGCGTGCAGAGAAGGCTCTGGGAGCCAGGAGACGAGAGCCAGGCCCAGGAAGGCCTGTGGGGGACCCTGGCCGCTGACCAGGAGGCTGTGCCAAGTGAGGAGAGCAGCAAGCCACTTCCTGTTTGGGATGGCAAAGGGGCAGGCCCCACAGGCGTGGGTTGGGCATGGGAAGGGTCCCATGGTGCCTGCAGGGTGGGCCCTGCCCCCACAAACACGCGAGTGAGCACCCCGGCCCAGGCAGGGCCTGAGCAGTCGGGGGGGTGTGCCTGCACCCTGCCCGACTACATTAGAGTGCTCCCCAGGGTCGGAAGAGAGGAGGCCAGAGACGCTACGTCCTGATGTCATAGCAGCGGCCTGCCTGCATCCCCACCACACTGGGCAGCAGGAACAAGTCTCAGTGACTCAGCCTCTTCCCTGTAGAGGTTTTGTGCTTTAAATCGCCCTCCATCCCAGTCACACCACCCAGGTAGGCAGCAGGGCCGGGCGACGGAGGGTGGGGAGGCCACTCCTGGCTCCACAGCTTCGTCTCCCCAGGGGCTGAAGGTGGCACCCTGACCACCTGGATATGCCAGCCTCCGCCTTCTAGCCTCCCCTCCTTCCTTGGCAACCTCCAAAGACAATTCCAGGTGCCGCCCTAGAGAATTCGGCTGCCTCAGAGCCAGTCACACAAACGAAAGCCAACACTGAGCTGGTCAATACTGAGAACGGGGTCCCGGCATGGGATGGAGTGGAGCAGGCCCAGGGCAGAGTGGGTGGAGGCGCTGCCCATCCAGGGAACTTGCCGATCAGCTTCAAAAGTACACATGGGGGCGTGGCCTGGGGAACATGGAATCGGGGCCAAGTTCTTCAGGCTCAGTAGGCTGGGACCCCACCTGGGCTCACTTGTTTCAAGATCTGGGTTGTGCAGCTCAGAGAACATTCTGCCCCTAAACCCACGACACGCACAGGTTTGGCCTGCCAGGGCTCAGCCCCAGGGCTGATGGTGGGTTCAGTAGTGAGGAGTAACACAAGTCCTAGAATTAGGACAGGCCATGGGCCAGGCCCTGGGCTGAGCAAAGGCCACCCCACCTCCACCACGGGCACCCTGGTCCAACTTTGAACAGAGCCAACCTGGAGGAGTCTGCTGGACCCTGGGCTGCCAAGCCGGCCGGCCGATGGCCCCGCCATTGTGCTGTCACAACCATGCTGTGCTTCTGACACTTTGGACGCTTGTGCAACGAGGGGCGGGGGCCTGCCCCCGACCGTGTACCTTGGGCTTCCCTGAAAGGGTGGGCAGAGGCTCCAGTGCGTGTGGGGTGCAGCTTGGAGCAGCTTGGGACAGTGGGCTCAGAGTTCCCGGAGGACTTCAAGTTTAAGTCCATGACATTCGCCAGCCCCGCCATGAGGTAGCGACCCAGCGGGACAGCAGGAGCGGGCGATGATGGTGGTGAGCACCTCGCAGGGCCTTGAGATCAACCTTGCGGCACAGGCCATGCAGCTGGAGGAGAGGCCCCAGGTGGGGCATCCCGGCCCGAGGGGGCCGATGACACAACGTCGTATGTGAGTATGTGATTCGAGGGTCTGTAAACAGTCACATGGGCGGAGTCTTTCTTACAGGTTGCAAGGTCAAAGCTTTCTGTTCAGGTGGGAGGGATGCACGAAGGGGGGAAGAGAATCATGGTCACTTCAGGGTGCTAAGGGACTTGCCCCGCACCCTTGGGATGGGCAGAGAAAGGAAGGTTTCCAGCCATTGCAGCGAGGCTGTCCAGGTTCCAGGAGGCCAGTGTGCAAGGCATGTCCTTCCTGTACATCCATCGGCTTGTCCAGGCTTCAGGGCCACCCACAGGGGCCACGTGCAGCAGGACCACCTTCTCACCTTCTCAGCTTCGGGGCAGGGGGCAGAGGGGGCAGGTTCACTCAGCCTTCAAGGGCCTGACCCCGCCCACCACCAACAGAGGCCACGCAGGGCAGGGACAGCCCAGTGGGAGAGGAGCGAGGGCAGACACATCGTGCCCTTCGGAAGTCCGAAAGTCACTGTGTCCTCTGACCAGAGTTGGGGTCCTTGGCTCCCAGACTGAGGTGGGAAGCACAAGACCAGTGAAGCAATGGAAAACAATGGACAGGCTTGGGGGTGTATGGGGGATGGTGGGAGCAAGGGATGGAGCTTGGCCCCTCTCAAGGCCCATTCCTGTAAATTCCAAGTTTCCCCAGCAGGGGGTGTCCAAACACTGATTAAAAACCTTCCCAGACCTAAGAGTCCCAGCCCCAGGGGAAGAGAAACTTCCTCTTCACTGCTCATCCCCTATCTGAGAGGGCCTCTTGCCCCATGACGGTTTTAAGGCTTGGAAAGTGTCTCCTAAATAACTGGAGAGAAGGCTGGAGAGACGGCCTGCCCCAGTCTGGGGCGGAATGCGGGTGGATGGCGGAGGACAGGGGCAGAGAACTGGCTGGCTTCACTGTCCAAGCTGCGTTTGGGGGACAGTCCTCCAAGCTGCTTCCTAGTGACCCATGCAGGGTTCTGGGGAGTGGGTGTCTGGCCCGGGCTATGGAGTGAGCTCCAGCCTTCCCCGGGATGGTGGGCCTGGGCCCTACGAGTGAGAAGACACGAGTGGCGCTGTGGGCGTGGCCTGTAAGGCTGCCAGCGATGGCGCCCCAGGCAGTGAAGGCACTGAAGAGTCAGGCCGCCAGGGGCTGGGGTGCCGGGGTGCTGGGAGGGTCCCCGCCCGAGCTGCAGAATGGAAGGGGGTGTTTCCCTCCTCTGCAAAGCCAGCAGAGGAGGTGGCACTGCAGGGTGGGGGGAGTGGACTCCCTGCGGGTCCCTGGCCCCCAAGAGCTGAGGGAAAGAACATGTGGGAAGAAACTTCAAGTCAGCTTCCAGGAGGCAACAGCAAAATTAAAAATAATAAATAAGTGAAGAATTTCTGGCCATCTCCCCAAGGAATCGTTCCAGCAGCTGCACCCTGGCCCGTCAGAAAGAGACCCCGAGGACTATGGGGCCAACTGGGATGAGTTGTTGGTGGCCACAGGGTTCGAGGTCAGCTGCAGGCCCAGTTGCTTGCACTTCGTTTCCATGGTTACCTGAGGACTAGCTTTTTGGGCTCAGAGGCAGGTGAGTGGCTCCAGAGGCTGGACAGGAGGAGGGGGAGCCAGCTCGGGGTGGGGCTGCTTTGAGGCTGGGCTGCTTCATCTCCGCCAGCACTGGGGGGGAGGAGGTGCTGGAGAAGACATGAGGGGGGTAATGCCCTTTGGCTTCACAGCTTGATTTCCTCCCCAGCCTCTCACCAAGAGGCTCCCAGGAGGGAGGGAGGCTGGGAGGGACAGGGGACAGAATCCTGCCGGGAGGAGGGAAAGGAGAGCAGGAGCGGGCCACGCCCACCAAGCCTCTCACCAAGAGGCTCCCAGGAGGGAGGGAGGCTGGGAGGGACAGGGGACAGAATCCTGCCGGGAGACCAAGGAGGGAAAGGAGAGCAGGAGCGGGCCGCGCCCACCACCACGCCCTCTGCCCCCATGCAGCTGGCCCTGTCTGGCTGGGTCACTGCTTCCCTTCCACGCTGTTCAGGCTGTCAGGGGCGAGGGTCCAGGGTGCACCCCTCTGACCTCACTCCTAGGGTGGGCCACCGGGCAGCCGCCGGATGCTCCAGAACTTCACCGTCAGGTCACTGGGGTGGAGACAAAGACGGGGCAGGTCAGCTCTTGAAGGGGGCTCAGCTAGCTGCCCCGGCCAAAGTCAAGGATGCATTGCACTCCCCAAACTCCCCCAATATGGTGAGGGCCAAGGGATGAGCATTGCTTAGGGGAGGGCAGGCTGCAGGGTGGAGGGTGTGGGCAGAGGGAAGGGCCCTGTAGTCTCAGGGCTGCGGGCAGCTTCTGCTCATGGGCTGGCTTTCGTGTGTGGTACCCTTTGGTCCAGGCCTGCCTGCTCCCCCTCTGCCTCTGCTCCCTGGCACCCGTTTCCTGGGGGCAGGTCCCACTGCGCATGCTCGGAGGAGGGTGGGAGGATGGGCAGGCAGGGTGCAAAGGGAGAGTAGGAGGGAGGAGCAAAATAGTCTCATACCGTTAGGAAGCAGCTCAGATCGAAGTGGGGAGAGAGAGGGGCAAGGAAAGGGGGGGAGAGAGAGAGAGGAGACGGGAGGCGGGAGGGTCAGGGCATGGTGGTGGCGCGGCCCTTTATGGCCAGGACTCGGCGAGGAAGGCAGGGGGTGAGTCCAGGCACGTAATTCCACAACTTTACCCGGCAGTCACTGTGGGGGGAGAGAGGCAGAGAGGCGGACAGGAGAGGTGGGAGGAGACGGGCGGGGAGAGGGGAGAGAAGGGACAAGGTCGGAACACGAAGGACAAAGAAGAACCCATCTGAGTAGCACCCACAGGACAGACGGCCTGAGCGGTCCCTGCATGGGGACCAGGCAGAGCTGCGGGGTGGTGTGTTTGGGGGTGATGGGGCTGCTTTGTGGTCCGAGAGATGCCTGGACGTGGGCGGAAAGCAGGTGGGACTGCCGTGTGATGGGTGAGTCCTGGCCTGGGGCCCAGCGCCTTCCTGCTCCCCTGCCAAAGGAGTGCCCCGCACACAGAGGGCGCCCAGCGCAGGCTGGCACAGGCGCGTCGGAAGGGACTGCCACGGAGTTTGCTCTGGGAACCAAGTCTGCAGGGCAGCTGCAGGCCCCTAGCCTGTACCAGGAGAGGTCTGGGAGCCAAAGCAGGCCTCTGTCCACACCCACCTGGAGGCTGTGAAGATGTGCTTGGCGTTGGTGCAGATGGCGTTGATGGGGCTGTCGTGGCCCTTGATCTCGCCAATGGGCGTGAAGTTGTCCACGTTCCAGACCTTGATGACGCCCGCCCGGCAGGCGCTCAGCAGCATGGGGCGGCCAGGGACAAAGGCCAGGGCGCACACCCAGTCCTTGTGTGCGTTGGGGATTTGCTGCAGGGGTGGCAGGGCTAGTGAGGACGGGGCAGCCTGTGCTGGGGTTCTCAGGGCCCAGAGCTGGGTCTCCCTGCCCCTGCCAAGTCCAAGTCGGGTCCCACACTGGCAGGGAGCCCTCGGGGGTCCGGCCATCTGTAAGAACCTGGGGGAGGGAACTTAGGACCCTCTCACTCAGACCCAGGGCAAGCCCAGAGCCTCTGCACAGAGTGGGGTGCCTGGGGGGGGTGCAGGGAGGTGGGGGGAGGAGGCTCGGGAGCTCAGAGCACCATCTGCCTGGACCATGAGG